TATTGCAGCATTATGGAGACAACATTATTATGCATTGTTCAGCTGTTTAAAAAGTCATCAGTATGAGGATGGCTCTGTTATTAATGATGAATCTATGTGTTAAACAACCCATGAGGTGCATGAAGCTATTTACAAACTGGCTGATAATAAGGCTTGTGGTCTGGATCACATTAGTGCAGAACATTTGAAATATGCTAGCCATAGACTAGCTCCCCTTTTAGCGCTTTGTTTTACAGGGTTTATGATTCATGGCATACTACCGGACTCAATGATGGCAATTCTGCTCGTCCCAGTTATTAAGAACAAATCTGGGAAGGGGACCAGAATGGATAATTCTAGGCCGATTGCACTAGCCAGCGTTTTATCTAAAGTTTTAGAAATAATCTTATTTGATAGAATCACTGTGTACCTCAGTTCCTTGGATAATCAGTTTGGCTTAAAGCCAAAATATGGTACTGACATGTGTATATAAGCACTTAAAGAAATGGTAAATTGGTATAGAAATAGAAATTCTTCTGTCCTTATGTGTTTTATTGATGCTTCTAAAGATTTGATCATGTAAACCACAGAAAACCTTTTATTAAGTTAAAGCAACGGGGGTCCCTGGGTTTATTGTGAGAATCCTGTCTCACTGGTATGCTCATCAGATGATGCAGGTTAAATGGGGTGGCAGCATCTCTGCACCATTTGGTGTTAGTAATGCTGTTAGGCAGGGTGGAATTTTGTCTCCTGTTTATTTAATTTAATTTGTATTTGTCCAGTATAAGAAAACACTGGTTTGTGTGGTAACGTGAAACATCTTTATTGTAAGTTTTTGAAATAGATTTAGATTTTTATTTTATTTTTATGCTTTTATCTTTTTTATTTATTCTATTTGTTTTTACCTATTTTGTTTCATTAATTGTTTTTAATGTTTTGTTGTTTTGTTCATATATATATTTTTTATCTGGACCTAAGACTCCTACCTACCTACCTACCTACCTACCTACCTACCTACCTACCTACCTACCTACCTACCTACCTACCTACCTACCTACCTACCTACCTACCTACCTACCTACCTACCTACCTACCTACCTACCTACCTACCTACCTACCTACCTACCTACCTACCTACCTACCTACCTACCTACCTACCTACCTACCTACCTACCTACCTACCTACCTACCTACCTACCTACCTACCTACCTACCTACCTACCTACCTACCTACCTACCTACCTACCTACCTACCTACCTACCTACCTACCTACCTACCTACCTACCTACCTACCTACCTACCTACCTACCTACCTACCTACCTACCTACCTACCTACCTACCTACCTACCTACCTACCTACCTACCTACCTACCTACCTACCTACCTACCTACCTACCTACCTACCTACCTACCTACCTACCTACCTACCTACCTACCTACCTACCTACCTACCTACCTACCTACCTACCTACCTACCTACCTACCTACCTACCTACCTACCTACCTACCTACCTACCTACCTACCTACCTACCTACCTACCTACCTACCTACCTACCTACCTACCTACCTACCTACCTACCTACCTACCTACCTACCTACCTACCTACCTACCTACCTACCTACCTACCTACCTACCTACCTACCTACCTACCTACCTACCTACCTACCTACCTACCTACCTACCTACCTACCTACCTACCTACCTACCTACCTACCTACCTACCTACCTACCTACCTACCTACCTACCTACCTACCTACCTACCTACCTACCTACCTACCTACCTACCTACCTACCTACCTACCTACCTACCTACCTACCTACCTACCTACCTACCTACCTACCTACCTACCTACCTACCTACCTACCTACCTACCTACCTACCTACCTACCTACCTACCTACCTACCTACCTACCTACCTACCTACCTACCTACCTACCTACCTACCTACCTACCTACCTACCTACCTACCTACCTACCTACCTACCTACCTACCTACCTACCTACCTACCTACCTACCTACCTACCTACCTACCTACCTACCTACCTACCTACCTACCTACCTACCTACCTACCTACCTACCTACCTACCTACCTACCTACCTACCTACCTACCTACCTACCTACCTACCTACCTACCTACCTACCTACCTACCTACCTACCTACCTACCTACCTACCTACCTACCTACCTACCTACCTACCTACCTACCTACCTACCTACCTACCTACCTACCTACCTACCTACCTACCTACCTACCTACCTACCTACCTACCTACCTACCTACCTACCTACCTACCTACCTACCTACCTACCTACCTACCTACCTACCTACCTACCTACCTACCTACCTACCTACCTACCTACCTACCTACCTACCTACCTACCTACCTACCTACCTACCTACCTACCTACCTACCTACCTACCTACCTACCTACCTACCTACCTACCTACCTACCTACCTACCTACCTACCTACCTACCTACCTACCTACCTACCTACCTACCTACCTACCTACCTACCTACCTACCTACCTACCTACCTACCTACCTACCTACCTACCTACCTACCTACCTACCTACCTACCTACCTACCTACCTACCTACCTACCTACCTACCTACCTACCTACCTACCTACCTACCTACCTACCTACCTACCTACCTACCTACCTACCTACCTACCTACCTACCTACCTACCTACCTACCTACCTACCTACCTACCTACCTACCTACCTACCTACCTACCTACCTACCTACCTACCTACCTACCTACCTACCTACCTACCTACCTACCTACCTACCTACCTACCTACCTACCTACCTACCTACCTACCTACCTACCTACCTACCTACCTACCTACCTACCTACCTACCTACCTACCTACCTACCTACCTACCTACCTACCTACCTACCTACCTACCTACCTACCTACCTACCTACCTACCTACCTACCTACCTACCTACCTACCTACCTACCTACCTACCTACCTACCTACCTACCTACCTACCTACCTACCTACCTACCTACCTACCTACCTACCTACCTACCTACCTACCTACCTACCTACCTACCTACCTACCTACCTACCTACCTACCTACCTACCTACCTACCTACCTACCTACCTACCTACCTACCTACCTACCTACCTACTAGTACTAGTAACATTTTTGCTACCTACCTACCTACTAGTAACATTTTTGCTTTTGTCTAGGCCTATTGAAAACAATAAATGTGGTTCTTAAGGCATCCTCTGTTTCAGACACAAATTCTGCACATTGATCTGTAATTTTTCAACCATAATTGCCTCTTTTGTTTATTTAAAATATGTAGCCTGAACAAAGTCTGGTAACAAATAAAATGGTAAATCATTTGAGGCATAGAATAATTTCATTAAAAAAGACTACCTTGCTACTGCAAAAATCACAAGATATTAACCTGAGGTCTTGAAGTAATCTTGGAATAGAATAGAATAGAATAGAATAGAATAGAATGTATTAACCCCACGGTGAGGAAATTCACAAATTACAGCAGCACATGCACTGAGAGAAAAGGGAGAAGAAAAAATAATAAAAAAGGTTCGAGTAGAAGAAGAAGAAGAAAATATCATTTCTATAGCGCCTCTCAAGATAAAAATCACGAGGCGCTTCACAAAAACAAAAAATGTAAAAATATTAAAAAGCATTTAGAAAATGTTTAAAAATATATTTACGAGCAAAAATAGACAATTGCGATTTAAAAGAAAAAATGTTAAGAAAGAGAGAGAGTGAATAGGAAAGAGGTAAATCAGCGGATCCTGAGGAAGGTGGAATAGGTGGGGAGAGAAGAATAAAGAGAGAGGGGTTGAAGAAGGTCATACAAAAGCCAGCTTGAACAAGTGAGTCTTCAGCTGCTTTTTAAAGGAGACCACTGAGTCCACTGATCTCAGGCTCAGGGGGAGAGAGTTCCAGAGTCTGGGGGCCACAGCAGCAGATGATCTGTCACCTTTAGTCTTTAGCCTGGTGCGTTGCACAACCAGTAGGCTTTGATCACTGGACCTCAGGGACCTGCTGGGGGGAGTAAACACACAAAGCCACTTTTATTGTAACCTTCAAACAAATAAAATGCAATGAATAAAAATAGGAAATTGGATTTTCTAAAATATGCAGCACAAGTGACACAAACATACTAATGTACACCCAGTAATTTTACAAGTATTGAACACACTGAATATTGCAAAATGTTTGTGTGTAGAAGGATAATGTCAGTAACTGTTTAACTGTGGGATTATACATTCTTACTGAGCCACAGTTCCAATTTTTGTTTATTTATTTATTTATTCATTTATTTATTCATTTTATTTATTACTCATCACTTCCAACAACCAGCACAATTTACGTTCCTGTTACTTAATCTTTATGGTTATTCCCAAAGCTGGCTCCTCCTTTGGCTGCTCCTTATTCCAGTTTGCTGCTTTCAACGACTGTAACTCAACGCTAACACCACTGACGCTCACTACCTACATTCCATCGCCTAACTTCAATAATTCCTTTCAGTCGATAGTTCCTGATCAATGTGCCTGCTTCTGAGTACTTAAAGATGTTTTAAGTCTGTTTACATTGCTTGTACATTTTGTATATGAGAACAGTCCTTTGATCTTTATGTCTATCTATTTGTTTTTATCTTATCTATCTTATGTTCTTTGGTTTAAATATACATTTATGTGACTGTTGCTGCTTCCTCTTGGCCAGATTGTCGTTGTAAATGAGAATGAGTTCTTAATCGACTTATCTGGTTAAATAAAAAGGTTAAATTAAAATTTAAAACTATCCCCACTGTCTTTAATCCTTCCCGGTAAGATCTTAAAGCCCTAATGTATTGCCTAATAAAAAGCAATCATTTTGATCAATAAATCATTTTACCAGCAAAACGTTTACACTCAGATTTATCCAGTACATAACTCGTGTTCATGGGATTGTTTTAGTTTGAAAATACACACCGGAAGTGTTTTATTGGTTGCAGCTCTTGACTCAGCCGAATGCCTATCTGAATCCGCCAGTCAGCAGAGAACCATTCCTCGAGTGTTCATATTATGACTACCAGGCGGTAGAACGATAGCGTATCTTATTGGGGGGTTTATTTGGGTTTACTTTCCTTTCTAAAATGTATATTTTTCTGGCTAAGGCTAACAATGCTAGATGAACTGAGCGACAATGGCTTTTGAACCTTTAAAATATCCTTTGGTCCGGATCGATGCTTCTTAGCTTGTTAGACAAGGGCAGATAACAGGTTTGCTGCGAATTACATTCATCCAGAGCGGCTAGAACCGACAAAGAAATAAAAAGGTAATATTTTGCTATGGTGGGTCCGTTTTTGTGGCAGTTTAGCTATTCGTGACACGCGACTTGTTTATACCGGTAGTTAAGCTAGCTGCGACTTCAGCCAAGCTTCGTTTTTCTTGCAGGGTTGTTTTGGACACGTTGTCTTTCTGCAGCAGACACTTAGCCTGTATGCATCTTTTAAACCAGACTTGCATTATTGTCATCGGTAGCTGCTAATACAGGGGTATGATTTCCTGTTTTACAGCTATTTTTGCGCTGCCAGTCGTTGTTTATGCCAGTGTCAGCCATGGATACCACTCAGGTGACCTTAACCATCAGGGAAGAAACATCTCCAGGTACGTCTGATTTCACACTTGTCCCCAATGCTTCTGGTAAGAAGACAGCACGTTAAGCTGGGTGTGTCGCGTCACCCTCAGTGATCAGAAAATGTAAACATCCTTCTCAGAAATGTAATTTAGCCTTGTGGATTACTCCCAGGTGAGGTGATTGCAGTCGTTGGTAGCTGTGAAGCCTTGGGAAACTGGAGCTATCAAAAAGCTGTGACTTTACACCCCGTGGTTGATGATGGGTATGTGAAACCTTAGATATCTTAATGAAATCCCTTTGTCAGCGAGTGGATGTCCTTTGTGTTTATTTGTATTTGTTGTTTATTACAGGCACACATGGACTGTAACCACCTCTGTGCCTAGAGGCGTTATTTCCAAGTATCGCTACTTTAAAGGCTTCTTTCTGGAATCAAAAGTGAGTTCATTTTATTTATTTATTTATTTATTTTACCTAAAATACTTAAAAAGCACTCATAATGGTCTTATAAAGCCATAGATCACTTGTCAGAGTCATTTATAGGCTGTTTAATGCTTTTTTCACTTCTGTTTGACTCTAGAACTGCTGGATGTTTTGTGACCTCATAACATCATTTCTGATTTTGCAGGGACAAAATAGCTCTGTTACTTATTTATCATTTAAAGTCACCACTAACTTGAACTTAAACACAGATCTTCCTGTTCACACCTAGTATGAATTCTCATCTCTTAAGTCCGTATATAGACGCCCCCTTTATATCGTTTTTTTCTGGATTTATTCGGACGTATTTGAAACCAAAAATCTAATGCATTGTGATTCTCTTGGTAAGCTGCCAAAAGTGGTTTTTAAAGTAATGTAAAAGTTGCTTATGAATCCTCTGGATTTTGGAAGCATCGGGTACATAATTATCGGAAAACCTCATCCTCCTGTGTGTTTGTGTATTCACTTCTGCAGACACGGTGTACGGATGATCTTTAAAGGGTGTGTGTGCTCGTCTGAATGTCTGTTACTGGTCATTAGCTGTGTAACAGTGATAGGTGCCCCGCATAACTCAGACCGGCTTCTTTTCTATGCTTCCATGTCAGTTACATATCCAGCTGTTGATAATAACGCATCTGAAATTATGATTTCTCCGAAGTTTCCTAGAAACGCCTTCTCGTCGCCTTCTCACGTTTCACATTTTTGAGCATGACGTTTGTATTTATGTGCGTAATGGAGCGCCGGTCATGTGAGAAGCGTCCTAACGGCACAGAGAGTCAAGTTTAGAGCTGGAGCTGAACCTTGATCCCATCCCCCGGAACACATAGCAATACCAGGTGTGAACAGAAAGAGAGCTAGAGGTCAGCACTGTGACGTATGACAATGTCCAGCTGGTAGATTTCAGTCTGACACGTGGGACTACTCAGCGCCAGCGCTAATCCCTCTCTTGGCTTATTGTACTCCCAGAGTCACATACCGGGCATCAGTTTTCCATGAAATAAATGGTGCAGATTTTTTTCAGGCGAGAGCTTCTGGGGACTTTACTATCTTGACCTTGACTGAACTTCCTTGTATTCTGCTTGGTGGGATATTTAGTTCTACTGGGTCTGTGAATTAAACCTTTTTATTATGAAGAGGAAACCCCATCAGTCATACAACAGGGCAAAGCATCCTTTAGTACTTCACTTAGGCCAGGGGTGTCAAATATGCGGCCCGCGGGCCGAATCCGGTCCACAAGCGGGTTAAATCCGGCCCGCAGGATGGTTGTGTGAACTTTATTTTCATACTTTACAATGTAGAGTGAAAATAAACTTATCTTTGTGAGCAAGTTTTCTCTGTAATGAGTATAAAACAAAGCTGCGCTCAAGGCTCACACAAGAACTTGAATCACATCCTGAAGTTGGCCGCCACTCAGGATGTGACTTCTGGTATTGATGTGCTGGTGAAAGGTAAAAGATGTAAAGTAAAATGAGTCAAATATACTTTAAGTGCTGCATGAAACTGATCTTGCCATGTGATCTGTAAGCTCTTTGAATCACTAAGGAATGTTTTTTTTTTTTTGTTGATTTTTTTAATTTTTTTTTTTAATTTTCAAGTACACTTCAGGTGTTGTACTTGTACAATTTTGGATACACTGTCCTCAGGCTCCAGCTTTGTTTTATATTGATTGTATTAAAACAAAGAAAACTATCTGAAGTTTTTTTTTTTCATTTACTGGTCCGGCCCACTTGGGACTAGATTTCCCTCAATGTGGCCCCTGAGTTAAAATGAGTTTGACACCCCTGACTTAGGCCCTGTCCACACGTAGCCGGGGATCTGCCAAAACGTAGATATTTTTCTACGTTTTGGCCTGTCATCCACACGAAAACGGAGTTTTTTCACACGAAAACGGATCTTTTTAAAAACTCTGGCCAAAGTGAAGATCTGCGTTTTCTCCGTTTTGGGTGTCTGCGTGTGGACAGACAAAACCGGAGTTTTAAGGTCCGCAACGTCACTTTCCGCGACAACAAAATGCTGACATCACGTGTGTGACCTGTGTTTACACTAGCCGACAGCATGGATGCCCTCAGAGCTGCGCTCGCTTTATCAATTGTCCAAGCGCTTTTTGCTTGTTTGTTTTTGCAAGCGGAATTACTGCTCCTTGCGGAAGACCCCAGATGAAGGACGAGGTTAAGAACGGGGGAAGTACTGCCGCCTACAGGTCTGGCATGTCCTTAACAACGTATTTATCCGGGTACGTGTGGACAGAGTTTTTTTTAAACGAGGGTGTGTGGATGCAAGTTTTTGGAGAGGCTGATATTCGTTTTTAAAAAAACCCCGGCTACATGTGGACTAGGCCTTAAACTTTATAGTTTTTGTTGTTGTTGTTTTTTATTCACCCACAAGTGCATAACACAAGCAGTGGTGTTGCTAAAGCTAACGGAACAACAAAGTAGTTCAGTTTCCAACTAAATAAATGTTTTAGGGTGTCTTTATGCCTTTTTGTTTATTTGAATCCCTTCACTAACAAATCCACGTTTCAGATTTCTACCCACGGTGGCTGACTGCTCTAGCTGGGAGCCAGCTTTGTGACTGCACCAGCTCTAATTCTCCTTTCCTCCCATCCTCTGGTCCACAAACTTCAGCGAGAGACCAGTTAGAGCAGTAGTTCAATGTATCTGATTTGAAAAACCTTATAAGCCTAACATTGTACCTGACATTGGAATTGCAGAGTGCAGGTGGGCCATGTCAAGTGATAGTCAATATGTGGGAGACCCATCATCAGCCCCGCACGATGAGCCCCACAGGTATAAACCAACAACAAAACGCTTCCGTCGGGTTTTCTAAACCACTTTGTCATTCTCAAACCTTCCATACCTTATTCTTGCTTTTCTCATTGAGGAAGGACTTTAGATTTATAAAGAACTGCAGTGTTTCCTTCTTTACCACAGTATTTAATGTACTTGCAGCCTTTATCCACACCGGCTGTGTGTATGTGTGTGTGTGTTGGGAAAAGTGCTTATTGCACTGATCTGCAGCCACAAAGGAAACAGTGCAGTAGAGTAGAACCAGTGAGGTGTTGTAGATCTATAGTTATCGGCCCATTGTGTTAGTCTTATTCAAACGAAGCCAGACAGGAAGAACAGCTGCAGCTCAGCTATCCTCCCATCTGTGTTACTCTTGTAATTCCTACTGTAACAAGATCCAGCTAGATTGGCCCTGAAGTCCTGCTGATGTTTAGCTAACCTCTAGTTAAAAATCTTCTTTATAAACCTCTTTATTGTAATGTTTAGTCCATCTTTCCTAAAGCTGAGGCAGGTCAGGTCCAGAGCCAAGCAGTGTGGGTTTGAGTTGGACAACTTTGTTTTTAGTCTTTCAGATGTGCTTCCATTTGATCTGACTTCAACTCACGACATTGCATTTATTTTTTTAACGGATCAAACTTTTCTCTTAAACTGCAGAATCACATCAGGACTTTGATGACGGACAGTTTGGAATTCACGGTAAGTTGAAATAGAAAAACAAAGATCCAGTCAACGTCTTATACTTCCAATTTTTAAAAATCTTTAACATGAAGTTCACTAAAGCTTGGTTTATGCTTGACGCGTCCGCGAGGTCCGCACGTCTCCACGCGGCAAAGTTGCGTCATTTTAACAACCGCGCCTCCGCACGGCCCAAACTTTCCGCACCGCGCACCTAGGAAATTTTCTAACCACTCGGTCGGTCGGACGTGGAAAAACATGGCGGACTGGCAAGAACTAGTATGGCAGAGGTTCGTAAATACAGACATTTGTATGATTCAGCTCTCAGAGATCACCGTGATCAACATGTTAATAATTCTTGAAGAGAAATAGCTCGCACTGTCGGAAAAGACGAGGACGCTGTTAAAAAGTGCTGGAATGCCATGTTGTAAACAACAGTAATTTTTACTTCTACTATGGTTTAGTGTTGGATGCATGCTGTAGAGCTCCATGCTGCCCCCTACAGTTTGGGAGAATATTGGCTCACCGCAGAGACAAGCCGCATGAACCATAAACGCTGCGAGTTGTGAAGCGCGTTCCATCCGTGAGCCGCATCACCAAGCGGAAAGTGAATGCGTCAAGCATAAACCAAGCTTTATTCTTTTCTTAATTTTACAACCCAGGATTTTTAGTATGACTTTGTGTCAGAACTGCATAGAAGTCCAAGTCCTTCTCTTCCTGCTGTAGTAGCAGCTCTGAGGTATCTGCTTCTGATGCACTAAGTCACAGCACATCCTTATCACTCGCTGTCCTGCAGATGGGGTGAAATGTGTCGACTCGGGGTGGCTGACATGCCAGACAGACATTCGCCTGCGTTTGCACTATTCCAAGAGGCCTCCGGTGTCCATCACTAAGAAGAAGTTCAAGAAGTCCCGCTTCAGGTGTGGAGGATACTGAATCTAAATTAAACATCAGGAGAAAGTCCACTGTGAGGGAAACCTGAGCTGCACTCGTGTCGTAAAAACCCGATGCTGACGACATTAACTCACCTCTGCAGGATCAAGCTGACACTCGAAGGCTTTGAGGAAGAGGAGGAGGAAGAAGAGGAGCCCACCCCTTCATCTTGGCACAAGATGACTCCCACTCTCGGGATCAGTATGATCAATGCTATCGGCTACAAGTCGAGACACTCCCAGCCAGAGTGTGGCTACGCCCTGGAGCCCACGCAGTGGACTGAGTACAGTATCCACACCATGGACCCCGACAACCTGGAGCTCACCTTTGAGTTCTTTGAGGTGACAAAAAAACCACATCCACTCACATTTTTATCTTTTTCAGCGGTTTGCCGTTGTGCTAATCCAGAATTTGATTGCAGGAGGATCTGAGTGAGCATGTAGTCCAAGGGGACATCCATCCTGGTCACGTGGGGACAGCCTGCCTCCTCTCCTCTTCGTTTTTCGAGAGCGGCAAGGACTTGGGAGTTGTCACGCTTCCCATAATGGGACGAAACTCCAGGCAGACGATCGGGAAAGTGAGAGGTCAGAATTTAGACGCACGATTTAATGCCTGAATGCTGCGTTCAGCTATGTTTACGTAGCTGTTGCTGTATTTTTAGTGGATTATATGGTGATCCGCCCCATCCCGGGGCTCCAGTGCGACATGAGCTCATCCTACACGAAACATTGGAAGAAAAGGAGCACCGTAGATGTGGGTCACAGAGGAGCGGGCAGCACACATGCTGCCAAGTGAGTTCTGAGTCTAAACCTGGATCTAAATGATGCTAGCTATATTAGAGGTGTGCGATAACGTTTACATTGTTGTTTTACAGACACTACAAAGTGCGGGAGAACACAGTAGCCTCGTTCACAAGTGCTGCTATGCACGTAAGTGACAGAGGCGATAAGCGGTGGTGCAAACCTTCTCTCATTCCTAAAGCATGCTCGTGTTCCTACAGGGTGCAGCTTTTGTGGAGTTCGACGTTCACCTCTCCAAGGACGAAGTACCAGTTGTTTACCACGACCTGACCTGCTGCATTTCCACCAAAAAGGTCATTTAAAACTCTTGTCACTTCAGATTCTCGCCCCCGTAGCCCGTTTCATACTGATGCTTTTGTTTGACAGAAAAAAGACGAGAAGCTGGAGCTGATCGAGGTTCCAGTTAAAGATCTGACATTTGATCAGCTGCAGCTTTTAAAGGTTTGTGCCGGTTTAACTTGTCTGTGTTGTTCCACCGTTCTGCTGTTTGTTTACAGATAAGCTGTGAGGCCAAATGACTGATTCCAAGTTGGATAGCTGGCTAAAGTTCGTACAGCTGGAGAAGGCTAAATGACACACACCATCTTTTAGGTTTTGTGTGAAAATAAGTCCAGGACCACAAATGCGCTTCACGAAAGTGACGTCATCGAGCCAGACACGGAGAAAACTGAGGGAAAAGGGCTGTAAGTTCAGCAAACTTCCCACAGGAGGGAAGAGCCACAATAAATCTGGTCATTTGGTAACTAGCAGCTACGCTAGGGGGGAGGAGATTATGTGGTGATGTCACATAGTTTGTAGTCATGCTAATTATAAACTTTTACAAGCTAATAAATCTCAAAGTACGTGACTGGCATGGTCGAAACGCACATCATTACTTTTCATTGAAATTGCAGTACAGCACTTGTGATCCAGGGCGTAAGGCAAAGCAGATTAGAAAATAGCGTATTTTTAGCCCCGTTGACGTTGACTTGCATTCATTTTTTTCGTTCTTCCGGGGATCCATGATGCGGAAGTGACTTATGGACCATTCCCATCTGTACCGGGTCGGCCCGGGCCGGGTAGCCCCAGTCGGCCCCAGCCTGGCCCGGTTGATTCCACACATCCTTGTCTTAAGCCCATGTGGGCTGATTCTACCCACCAATCAGAGGCTTGCTCTAGTGGAAGGTGTGAATTTGCTGTCAGCAGTGGTTGTGTTGGCCCTGGTCGGCCTGAAGCAGACCCCCTCGAGAAGAGGGCTGAGAATGAGCCTTGGTTGGCCCGGAAAAATACCAGGCCACCCAGATATGTAAACAACCTACGCTACCCGGCCCGGGCCGACCCGATACAGATGGGAATGGCCCATTAGGCTCCCTATTGAAATGTAACTCCCTCTGTTATGGTTCAGATACCTCATGTTAAACATGTTACGTGTCAGTTTGGACTCTTTATTGAATTTTCCTACAATAAATTCAGTCTAAAAAATTGCTAAAATCGTCTGAATGTATCGTATCGTCTCCCCTGCATCGTGATGCGTATCGTTTAGCCAGAATTTCACCATTACACATCCCTATTAATTCATTTCTCCTCCTCTGAAGCATTTATGGGCTTGTTTGTTCATCAGCTGACTGCTGTTATGCTAAGGAAGTGGACAGTATGACCCTTTTCTTTCCACTGGATGTGAAATTGGCACGAAACGACTGTGAAACGTGGCAATTAACCGCCGTGATAGTGGATGAGTTCCTTTCCACCGGCAGCGTTTTGGACACACCCCAGAAACAAGGGGACACTGTCATTATGCTTAAAGTCCATATTTTACACACCATGCTTTGAAAACAAGTCAAACTCTGCAGCTTAGAATGCACCAGACAGGAAGTCAAACACAAAAGCAATGTAAAGCATCCGGAAACATTCAAAATAAAAGTCTCATGCAGGTAAATGTACATCATTTGCTGTTAAAAACCCGGTAGCCGTGTGAACGGAACAGAAAATCAGACCTTTTTGAATGCACGCAGCTAGGGCTGGGTAATTAATCGAAAATGTATCGTTATCGAAATTTCTGACTTTTATCGGGATAATTTTCCCATGCCAATACATTTTGAAATAAAAATATTAAAAGATGTATGTATGTCTCTTTAAGAAGCTGTACCACCTTGAGTCAAGTAAAATAGTGATTTAACGTAATACATGTGACAGCGCCATCTATTGGAGAACTTTTGTTTCTGCGCATACCTGTAGTTATCGTCCATTTATCATTATCGAGGTGAAATCCTCACAATATGGTGATATTGATTTTAGACCGTATCGCCCAGCCCTACATGTAGCTGTCTTTCTCTTTGCTTATTGTTGTGTGTGTGGACTTCTGGAATCACACAAGGTGTTGCAATTCTCCTGTGATTTCGTAACCTCACGAGATCGGCCATGTGGAACACTTTTGCTCCCGTTCCGGGTGGGAATGATGTCGTGGACAAAACGCCGTTACTCTATGTTATTACCGCTTTCACAGCCGGCGGAAAGAAAGGGTTACTGTCAGAATCTGGTTAGGATCATCATCGAGATTATCGTGGATCGAAACCAAACTTCCTCCTAAAGATTTAGTGATTATAAAGGATGTCTTTCACTGACCATGTAGTTTTTTATTGATATTAAAGCGGATGATCTGTTTATTGCACAGCTGGCCCATGTCACCGCAATGAAAGGAAGTGATCACAAAGGTATGGACTCTTTGTTTTCTCCGTTCAGCCCTTCCTGCTTGGACTTTGCTTGGATGTTTTACGTGGCTCAGCTTCAAAATGTCTGTGACTGTTTGTAGTGCAGCCGTTCTACTCAGTGTTGCTTGTTGTTGAGCAAAAAGTTCCACGCAAACTCCGATGTAGTCGATGTTTGCCGTTTTCTTTTGTCGTGAAACTCGTGTGAGACTGAAATGTGGAACGGGGATGAAAACTCTTATTCGCTGCAGATCTTCTGGAAGATGAAGATGAAGTGGATGAACACCAGCCATTCCCCTCACTGCCACAGGTAAAAGATAACGTTGTTGTGACGATCTTTATTTAAAGGACTCTTTATTTTACGCTACAGGCAAACAATTATCTGTTTGTGTCTAAAGATTTTCCAAGCTGTTCCTGAACACGTCGGCTTCAATATCGAACTGAAGTGGATCAGTCAGATGAAGGTGAAGATTCTGAAGCAGAATCGCTTTAAATTCTACTTAAAGCTAACATTTATAATGCCTTTTAATTGCAGGATGGATCGTGGGACGGAAACTTGTCCACCTACTTTGACATGAACTCCTTCCTGGACATCATCCTTGGCTGCGTTCTACAGAAAGGCGGAAAAAGACGGATTATCTTCTCATGTTTCGACCCAGATATCTGCACCATGTAAGTGCTGTTGCAGGCAAAGCGCGATCGATGATGTTTTAGTCGACTGAAACCGTAAACGTGTCCACGGTCATGACTGTGAAACAGAAATGAAATGGTAGTTATAGACTGTTGTTAGAAAGTGTCTCTTTTTCTTACAGCCGCTTGATAAAAGTCGTTTGTCCTTCAGGGTTCGTCACAAGCAGAACAAGTACCCCATCCTTTTCCTGACTCAGGGGATTTCAGTCAGGTATCCGGAGCTGATGGACATTCGCTGCCAGTCCACTCAGATCGCCATCAGCTTCGCTCAGAGCGAAAACATTCTGGTGAGTTATTTCCTATGCAGACATTCTAACCCTAACACGTTAATCACAAGGTTAAATCATGTTTTTATCAGCTGAGACGTCTTTCCAAACTAAAACCCATTCTGAATCGGCGCCACCTCGAGACAACCATTCACGCCTTCATCACCTCAAGGTTGGATTACTCCAACTCAATTCTGTTTGGCATTTCAAAAGCCGCATCATCTCGCCTTCAGCTGATACAGAATGCGACAGCAAGATTTCTGACCAATACTGGCCGTCGGCAGCACATCACTCCAATGTTAGCAAGACTTCACTGGCTTCCTGTGCACTACCGTATACGTTTAAAAATTTGATTGTTTTTAAGGCGCCGAATGGCTTAGCACCACCTTACAGATCCGAGTTACTCACTCCTTATGTGCCGGGCAGGACTCTCCGTTCAGGTGACCTACACCTACTACAGATTCCCCGTCTACGCTGCAAAACCCGTGGTGAACGAGCTTTTTCTGTCTGCGCTCTGAAACTCTGGAATGATCTCCCGTTGAATATCAGACTACCCCTCCATTGGGGTTTTAAGTCTCATTCAAAGACTTACTTTTACTCCCTTGCTTTTACTGCCTAGCCATTTTATCGATGGTTTATTTACACTGTTCTTTTACCGATTTTATTGATTTCTCTTGTTTGGTTCTTTGTGCTATCAGGGTATCCGCGGGTCCTTAAAAAGTCTTAAATTTGCTTTTCCAAATTTAAGGCCTTAAAAATCCTTAAAAATGACAAATAATCCTTAAATACAGTTTCCAAAGGTCTTAAATTACCAAAGACCCAATAAACAAAATCATTTTGTTTCTATAAAATTTTGTGAATTTCTAGTTAGTATTCAGCATTTTTTGTATGATATTGTCATAAGCAGAACCGTACACATTCAGTTGGTTGTGAAAGGGGGCTATTTTTAGATGAGCACATTAGCTGGTTAAGCTAGTGGGAGCTTGCGCCATGGGGAAGTGCAAGTTTAATGGTAACTGGATGGCTAATCCCACTTTTGCGCGGTTCCAGGCAATAGCTAGAAATTATAGCTTAAATTTAATTTCAAAAGTAGCTTAAATTTGGTCAAAGTGGCCTTAAAAAAGGTCTTAAAAAGTCTTAAATTTGGCTCCCTTAAACCTGCAGATACCCTGTGCTATGCTCTAGCTGTTTTATTCGTTTAACCTTACATGTTTTTACCCCCTGTACAGCACTTTGGTCAGCTCACATGCTGTTTTTAAATGTGCTCTATCAAGTAAATGGAATGGAACCCAACGACTTAAAAATGGTTCGAATGTTCTTATTTATTTATTTGCTCATCAAGGGAATCAGCGCCCACACAGAGGAGCTGCTGAAGCACCTGGATTACATCAGGGAAGCTCAGTCTAAAGGCCTGGTGGTGTTCAGCTGGGGGGACGACAACAACGACCACGACACCCGGAGGAGCCTGCGGGCCCGGGGAATCGACGGGCTCATTTACGACAGGTCGGTTAAACTTCAGTAACGTTGATCCACGTGTGAGAAGCTTTAAACGCACACACACACGTGCGCGCACACACACCCTTCCAGTAGGAACTTGCTGTTACTTATTAGTCTAGACAGCTTGAGCTAACAGGTTGTTTAGTTGTCTTACACAACATTCCCCACGTGTTTGTCTGTTGTTTTTATGATGACATGATTTCAGGTTCAGTCCAGTTGTTTTTGACACTAGCTGTGAGTTCAACACTGTTTACTCACGCAGGACATTAACATTCAGATAATAAAAGATTATTTAGGAAGATAAGTGTTTGTGTCTATGGGTCAGGACCTTTCTACTAACTTTATTGCATTTAATGAAACATCTGCTCTGAACCGTGGATTTGGTGTTACTACAGCCTCCTGTGCACGTCGCTCTACTCCAGCATGGGACATTATATCGTCTCTACGTTGCATTTTATTTGCACACGTCTCACAATCTGAACTTTAATCACTGAAAAAGTTTTAATAGGAAATCCTTTACCTCTAGTTCACTCAGTGAGAATAATTTGGTGCATAATGGGATTTTGAGTCGTGCAGTAGCTTTATGTTTGTAAAACCTTCATATAGTTATTGTTTATCCAATAGGAGCTCATGTTTACTAGCTTTTCTACTGAAGCTGGGGTTGTAACGGTTCACGAGGGGAGTGTTGAAGCGTTTCGGTTCGATCCGTTTGGTTCTGTCCACTTGAGTACATAATACATTTTTATTAGCGTGATTTAAAGAGCAAGTCACCCCCTACCAGAGTCTAACTCCACTCCCACTTCATGTTTGAAAAATGCAACAAATGCTGTTGCCTGGCAGACCGAGAGGGCGGAGCCGCTAACAAATACACACACACACAGGCTCACGGCGGCATTGTGACATCATAATGTACCAGTTTACATCATAGCATACTTCTTAGCCAATAGCGGTGGCAGATTTTAATTCAAATATAGTGCAGTTTTTACCTGGCGACGGCACAACACTGCCAGTTTTAGGCAGACTATTTACATTTTTACTAAGATGCACTGAAGTGCCAAATTATTGACGACACGTGTCTGCAGCACGGTCAGACACTCGTTTATTTAGTTTATCAGCAAAAAAAGTTTATTTGGGGGTGACTTGCTCTTTAAGTGCAGCGGATGAAAGTTCCTAGGCGAGTTTCTGCACGGACGCTGCATTAAGTGACTCATGATGGCTGCACGTGCCTGATCTCCGTTTAAAAAAAATGTGATCTGCAAATTCTGATCAACGAGCGGATCAAACCAGCTGGCTGTCGCTGCTACTGGAGCCTGTAGAGACGCTGAACGGAGCCCTTCTCTCACGCTGTTTAGACACGCAGCGGCAAAAATGTAAACAAACATCTCTGCTGAACTTTCCCCCTGGGACAACTGGTGTAACGTTTTCATCCTACAACAAAAAATACGGCACGGAGGAAGCTCGTTATGTAACAGGAGTTATAAAGAAGAAACTCTGGGCGGTGTGAGGTGAGTTTTTAAGGTTCGCTGCAGAAATAAAAACACGGAGCATCAACAGTCAAACGCAACGCTGGTCTGTTTGAGCGTGACACTCGTAGCTGCATTAATAACCTGTGAAACAATTTAAAGACATCATGCTAGATCTGCAGCCTGTGATGACACCTGGTTCTGCTCGCTATAGGAGCCTCTTCAGATATTAAATAAATAAATATAATAATATACCGAAAATTTATCGAACCGAGTAGGGCTGCAGCTATCGAATATTTTTGTAATCGAGTACTCTAATAAATGACCCTTTTGTGTTTGTAAACCATTATATCAAACAGAAAGACCTCTTAAAATGAGCTCACAATTGCCAGTTATTATTCAAGTTTTATTCAAAATTAGTTTTCAAATCTTCAGCACTTCAACTTTACTTCAGTAAACAAATGCCTGTGCAAAAAATAAGTATACGACCTGAGCCGATTTTCCCCTCGTGTGAGAATCTACTAGCCGGCAAGCCAGACGAACACTAGGAGGATAACTGTTGAAGTAGCGCTGCGAGCGGCTGCGGCCCAAACGGCACCAGAACCGCTCAAGGCGCATGCGCAAACATGGCTCGCCAGCTATTTCCCTATTAAAACTAGGGATGCACCGATGGATCGGCATTTGATCCCAATCGGCCGATAGCGCCCCTGTCGGTTTTGAGTTTTCAAAATGGATCAAAGCAGACCGATCAGCCCATTTTAGATTAGGTTACATTTCCTTTATTCCCAGATTATGTAGTTTGTAGCACTCATTATAATGTTGTAGAAAATTTCTGGCCAATCCACGTGATCGGTATCGGTGATCGGCAGCAAAAAACCTGATCGGTGCATCCCTAATTAAAACACGTCCATTTTAATTTCTACACTTTTTTTCTCACACTAACAAGGATTGTCGAGAAAGCATGTTTGCCATGTTTATGTCAAATTATACTGATCACAGAACATTTATTTACTTTCTTTTGTTTTCCTCCGCCGCTCTCATCAATACCCGCGTCCTCCTGCAGCAATCGTGAGGGACAACAGACATCAATAACAACACAATAAAAAGTCTGACGTGTTGTGTAAAAACTGCTATTTTTAGCACATTTTTAGGTTCGACGTGTTGCTAGCAGACACACAGTGTGAGCTGAAACTGAGCGCTACAAACGAAAAAGTCGCACAGTGTCCGCAGAATATATAGCGGACCTCCGAGTCCGCTTGCAGAAGTGACATTTATGGGCCATTCCCATCTGTACCGGGTCGGCCCGGGCCGGGTAGCCCCAGTCGGCCCCAGCCTGGCCCGGTTGATTCCACACATCCTTGTCTTAAGCCCATGTGGGCTGATTCTACCCACCAATCAGAGGCTTGCTCTAATGGAAGGTGTGAATTTGCTGTCAGCAGTGGGTGTGTTGGCCCTGGTTGGCCTGAAGCAGACCCCCTCGAGAAGAGGGCTGAGAATGAGCCTTGGTTGGCCCGGAAAAATACCAGGCCACCCAGATATGTAAACAGCCTACGCTACCCGGCCCGGGCCGACCCGGTACAGATGGGAATGGCCCATTACATGTGGATGTTTCCTGGTCAGGTGCTGCAGCATGGAGGATGTGGTGATGTGGTAGGCTAAATCCATTTTACAGTATTTACACTGGACTACGTTGTCCGCCTTACGACGTGAAAAATGGTCCCACACCTTTGACATTTTCCATCTTTTTCGCACTCCACTGGGGTCCACATTGCCCGCCATGGCTTAAGAGAAAGTTAAGTTGCGTTCGCTACTCGCGTGTGCATTCAGTGCAGTGCGTATGTGCGTCACTTATTTCGGTCCGGGTGAAACATGACCCCGGGCGATTGCTAAGCCATGAATTAATTAAACATGAATTAAACGAAGCCTCGAGGCAGAGAATTTGACTCGAAGCTTTTTTGTACTCGAATTATTCGAGGTACTCCATTCGTTTCAGACCTAGAACCGAGCTCTTGGTGTACCGTTACACCCCTAGCTGATGCCCTTTAAAGTAAACAGGAAACACTTGGACCTGTGGGACTTTTTGTTCTGTAGTGGAGGATGAATCCATTAGCCAAGCAGCTGGTGTCCAAGTCTCATGATAAAGTATAAAACCTGGTTGTTTATCAGCTTGTTGGTGTTGTGTAATCTGGCTCCAGCAGCATGGGGATCAACGGGCACCATGTAGATTAAAAGCCCTGATTGTTTATTGGCTAGTCTACGTGAAACAAATGTGCAGTTATGTAAATCCTGTTCTGATTAGGGTTTAGTAGAATTCTCTGGGCTTGGTAAATACCGCTCGGTCAGCAGGAGCCGCTTGTCCGGCTGTTTCACTTCTGTATGTCTCCACATGCTGACGGCTGCACTTTGACCCAACTTCTGCAGAAGGTAGAGCAAAGTTCATGAAGCCACTTCCACCTTGTTGTTGTTATAACTGTGCCTCTTTCTTACAGAATTTGTGAAAGCGTGCTCCCGTATTTTGACTCGAGTTCTTCAGACTCCTGTAATTTCTCTCTGGTTCCAGTGTTTGTCAACATTTTACACCCCCAGCTTTTCTGTTTGGCCCCCTACGCTGATACTGATCAATGCTGCAGGAACACAGTCATGTTCCTAGACAATGATACATGAGGCGACTGACTTATCATACTTACAGCTGCGTTTGTAAAACCGCTTGTCTGATGAAGTCGACGCCCACGGTGATCATTTGTCTTCATTTAAGAGCGAGGCCACTTCTCGTTTTTGTTACGTTTCTGCACTGGTTTGCTTTAAATTCCTTCTCATGTTTTTAATGCTTGCTGCTGCGATGATTTAAAAATCCAACTTGAAGCAAAAGTAGAACAAAGAGCGAATGGCTTTCCAGATGCATGACACTTGATTATGTTTGAGAAATGTCCAGCTGCTGCTTTTAGTCAGATGTTTGCTGGTGTCAAACCTACTGGCTCTGATCAGAGGTCGTCCTGCATTTTCAATCAAAGCTTTGCACCTTCCCTTTGCAAGACAGCACAGCTTATTTGTCACGGTAAAGTCTTAAATGTACACGTCTTTAAGCGGCTTTGGATGATGAGCCGGGTGATGGCACTGGATCCTCTTCTGATCACACTTTTCTGAATCTGAATCTTTTCCACTCAAAAATGAGACGTCAGTTTTTTCTTCAACGGTCGGTCTGTGTTGGCTAACTGTCCTTAGATGGGTCACATGAGCAGTGTTTATTTTCTGTGACAGATGCTAGAGCGTTTTCACTCACGACCGAACGTGCCCTTGTTGCTGATTGTAAAAACAGACCAGCCCAGCTGATTTACATGGTTTAAACTTGCCCGTTCAGTTCTGATGTAAAAGGCCTCTCAGGTTTCCAAGGGTGATTCTTTTCATGCAGGCAGAGAAGCAACCAGTGCAATCATTCCTCAACACGTTTAAACCTGGTTTAGCATGAGCCGTGGTTTACATTACTGTCTTTAAAATAGGTGGAAACTTAGTTTAATCTTATCTTGAATATATTTAAAATAAAACTAAACTGAATCTAAAGGTCAGAATTGTTGTTTGTATTAAATATTTAATATTTGGGCTTGGGGTGGGCGATACGGCCTAAAATCTATATTGCCATATAATTTGAAAAAAGTGCGGTAACGGTATATATTGCGATATATGACTTTCTTTTGTATATCTGTCAAAAACGACTGTTTCTAAACATACTCACGTACCAGATACATTGTAGCAGCAGAATAAACACACTTCAAACAGTATAAAATGCCATTTTAAGAAAATGTATTAATTTTCTGGCTCGCAGACTTTCTCATACAGTTTTGGCATCTCTGTTTGGCTGAAGTGTTTGCGGCTCGGTACCTTGTAACGTGGATCGAGTGTCTTAATCATGTCTCGAAAGCCGCTTTTCTCCACTGTAAGAAACGGCACCATGTCCTTACACAGGTACGTGGTAAAGGCATTTGTAATATCAATCCACCGTTGATTATTTCTCTCATACTGAGTGCCTTTAGCAAATGCTTGTAAAATATCCGTCTGCTGGTGTGTAAGACCACCTTTTTTCTTACCGCTCGACTGACTGGCCGTTTGTTGAGGATGCAGGTTTTGGCTTTCTTCGTATTCCGCAACGTGCTTCGTTTTGAGGTGGTAAAACAAATTAGATGTATTCCCTCTATTCGCTAATACTTTCTTCCGACATACTTTGCAGATGATATTGTTCTGTTCCACATCCGACTCCTTAAAGCCAAACCAAGTCCAAATGACCAATGTTGCACCGGTCTTTTTTACGAGAACCTCCTCCACCACAGACTCCATGCTTTCAGCCTCAACAGACGCCGCTTGATGATGTCATCAGCATGCGCTACCGCGATAGGCCGATAGTCAAAATCTCTACCGTTGGCCAAATTAGTATCATTTCTACCGTATACCGTTTATACCGCCCACCCCTAATTTGGGCCGATTGTCCTATGATTATAATCCAGCTTGTCTATGTATCACCATATAGTCACACGAATAAAACCTACAGACTTACAGTAACAACAAATATTCACAAACATATACTTTCATTAACATAAAATACTGTTTCTTCCATGAAGCCGGTGCTCTGAAAGACCAAGTTCACTAGAGACAATGTCTTACTGGTTATTTTAAAATATGTCAGTCACTCTGAGTTTAACATGCAGGCTGAACATGAAAAAAGTCTTCTACCCCTATTTCCTGCATTAGCCGCTGATGGAAAATAAACAGGGACACGCTCGGGTCAGAAAAAGCCACACAGCTTCACGTCACTCTGACAACTAACATTCATGTACTCACCCGTCTACTCACGACGGGGAAGGCTGTTGTTGGTTTAATGTCCATGAAACGGCAGATAACGTCTCGGCTCGTACAAGCTAACCGTTAGCATTAGCAGCTCCACAGAACTCCTTCAGGCTTGAGTTATTGGCGGAGATCAAACATCAATGTTGCAGAGCAAACAGTCCGTGGTAGAGTTGCTTTGCTGTTAGCCAATCAGAGGCAACATGTCCAAATATCAGGAATAATGACTCCAAATTCTGCAGTTTTCTGCTCCCCACTTCTCCAGCTAACTTCTACTTCCTGTAACAGGAGCGCCAGAGCTTTTTCTCCATCAGAGGTTGACTCACAAGGCATTCTTTTATACTAGACCAAAGCAGATTTAATGAGAACACGAGTGAACTTGGTCTTTAAAACAATCCCAGTCATCTACATTCCTGACTGCACGTGCTGACATCATCCTTGTGATTAGATTAGCAGCTCTAGTTTCCACTGACGTTCGCAACTTTTTTTGCAAGATTTAAATACGAAGCCTCAGATTTTACTGACACAATAAAGATGTTTGCTTTGCATTATGTTACCTTTGTCTGACTGATCCTGAATCAGACTTTTCTCTTCTTCTCTAGCATTTGTGAGGCCCAAGCAGAGCAGCCAAACATCTTCCAGGTAGAGGAGCAGCACAGCCTGCAGGAAGTCATCACAGAGGAGACCTTGAAGAGCTCCTCCTGCTCCTGCTACTCCATCCCCTGCTCATTGGTACCCTGCGCCGCCTCGCAGGCTCACGTTGGAAGTGCCGAATCCGATTCTGGCCTTAGCTCTTCATAAAATAATCCCTCAGCTTCTACCTTCATGAACAGTTTATTAAACACACACACACACGCACACGGACCTAGGTAGGATTTAGAAGATTAAGTGGAAGCTTCTGCGCACTCAGATAAATGCCAAAAAAAGATTTCTGTCTATATTTTTTTAAGTTGACCAGGATGATCAGGTGTTCCTTTTGGCATCAGACGTAAAACCGCGTAGACCATCTCCTCTCTCTTTCATGTGGATTTTATTAAACCCTCAGAGGTTTTTTATTTATGCTTTTTATTTATAGTTGGATTTTTATGAATTTATGGAGAAAGAAGCCATGCCAAACTTCATTTCTCACACACCAGGACGGAGGTCTTTACATGCTGGTGAATTGGGATATTGCACATTAGAGCGCAGGTTGATGTTGCGTCGAAGTGAAACTTGATATTTTATGGGTGATGACTGAACTATGGTGGTGCGGGATTACATTCTCTGCTATGTAGCTGTGTGTTTGTGTTACCTGATGTTCTCAAGTACCAATCTGATGCTGTTTCCTGAGGAATTCTGGGTAAGAATTGCTTTCTACAAACGGCGTGTGCAACTAGACGACGGTGCAGGTTTTACTTCCTGCTGGACCAACTTAACGCACTTCGAAACCACATCAATGATTAGGTCCTCCTAATGAGGAGGTTTAGTTGACTGCACTTGCATCGACTTTTCTTGCCTTTGAGACTGTTTATTGATTAGCATATTATTATTATTAGCTATTATGTCTTACACAATTCAAACTGTACTGTATAATGTAGCTTACATGTACCCAATTAGAGGAAAATAATGGTTTATTTGCACTCAGACCACAGCCTTAAAGGGTCAATTTAATTATTTTGGTTTGTTTCTGCTTAAGGCCTTTGTGTTCATCAGTAAAAAATAAGACTCAGTCTTTAAACCAGTTTAATTCTACAACACCACACAGACTGGTGCCACATGAATTCAGCAGTGATGTCTGAATCTGACTTTGCTGTGAGTTTTCTGTATATATGTGTACATACTAACACAAGTTGTTAATAAAACCAACTCATTAGCTTTTTTGTCTTTTTTTATTACGAGTATACCCTTGTTTGATCAAGCTTTACACTAAATTACCATTTTTTAAAACTCTGACAAATACTTTCAGGTAGAAATTATTTATTTTATCTGCTCTGTAACTTGATCACATCTACCAGTTTTATTAAAACCTTATCAGTTATGTCAAAAACATCTCATATATTAACTTCAATGTACAGTTGCTATAAACACCTATCCAAATGTACTGTTATTAGCTTATTTACACAGCTTCTAACAGACATGAATACAAAGATGTCTCATTGGGCACTGGAGAGCGTAACAGCGTCACCGCCATATTGGATGGGTCTTCTCACTCCAAAGTCAATGCAACTGTACTCGTTTCTGTGCAGCCTACCGGCATTTAGTTTAAAACATAACGTGGAATTACTAGCGACTTCTAGCCTACCTCATAGGATTTTTAATTTAAATGTATTTTTTTTGTTTAATAATATATATCAGGGTGTCCGCGGGGTTTTAAAAAGTATTAAAAAGTGATAAATAAAAATAGTCAAATTTAAGGCCATTAAAAGTGTTAAATTTGGTCTCAGAGGTATTATTTTTTCCAAATTAGGTATTATTTTTTTCAGACTATCAGATGTCGTATTCTGAACATCGACATAGAATTATATTCCGAATGAAATGTTTTGAACGATTATAAAAACAAAACAAGCCGATTATTTGCTCCTCCCACTTGCGCTGCCTTGAGTTGCAAATGAAGCGCTCCTCCTCCGTGTTGCCAAGTTAACTTGGCGACTTTGACGCTATTTCTAACAGCTTCTCAGACCCCCTTCTTGACTTTTTAAATCTTAAAAGTACCTAACGAACACCTCAGAAACATCTCTGGTAACCCTTAGCTACTTTCTGGATAACTGTCGTAGACATTTCCTGCAGGTTAGCTAAACTCCGCCTGCACTCCGGACCGTTCTTCAGGACATTAGGAAAGGGAATGATGTAGTGATGTGTCAGTCGCTACAGAAACAGCTCTCGGAGCTGGCTCCCTGTTGGATTAACCAGAGTGAGTGACACACACACCGCACCTGCGGACTCCTGAACCGCGGTCAAGTGAGCCGACAATTGTGAGCCGCGGTCAAGCCAGCCGCATCTTATCCGCCGCGAAAATTTCATTGCTTGTTTACAACGGTCTTTGCGGTACGGCATTTTGAACAGGGAACTGCCCAACTCGTGACAGTCTGGTTGCATATTCAAAAATTCATAAAAAATCATCCTTCATAGCTGATGTACAAGTTTCACCACATTATGATTCTGGGACACCCACTGTACCTGTGTGCCACATTTCAGACAGATTTACTGTAGAAATCCTCAGATATTACAGCAAACTTGTATGCAGTCCACACTTGTGACAGTCATGTTGCATAATCAAAAATTCATAAAAAATCATCCTTCATAGCTGATGTACAACTTTCACCACATCCTTACTCTGGAACACCCACTGTACCTGTGTGCCACATTTCAGACAGATTTACTGTAGAAATCTTCAGATTTTAAAGAAAACTTGTATTCAGTCCACACTCGTGACAGTCTGGTTGCATATTCAAAAATTCATAAAAAATCATCCTTCATAGCTGATGTACAAGTTTCACCACATTATGATTCTGGGACACCCACTGTACCTGTGTGCCACATTTCAGACAGATTTACTGTAGAAATCCTCAGATATTACAGCAAACTTGTATGCAGTCCACACTTGTGACAGTCATGTTGCATAATCAAAAATTCATAAAAAATCATCCTTCATAGCTGATGTACAACTTTCACCACATCCTTCCTCTGGAACACCCACTGTACCTGTGAGCCACATTTCACACAGATTTACTGTAGAAATCTTAAGATATTACAGCAAACTTGTGTTCAGTCCACACTCGTGACAGTCTGGTTGCATAATCAAAAATTCATAAAAAATCATCCTTCATAGCTGATGTACAACTTTCACCGCATCCTTCCTCTGGAACACCCACTGTACCTGTGTGCCACATTTCACACAGATTTACTGTAGAAATGTTCAGATATTAAAGAAAACTTGTATTCAGTCCACACTCGTGACAGTCTGGTTAATATTCAAAAATTCATAAAAAATCATCCGTCATAGCTGATGTACAACTTTCACCACATCCTTACTCTGGAACACCCACTGTACCTGTGTGCCACATTTCAGACAGATTTACTGTAGAAATCTTCAGATTTTAAAGAAAAATTGTATTCAGTCCACACTCGTGACAGTCTGGTTAATATTCAACAATTCCTAAAAAATCATCCTTCATAGCTGATGTACAACTTTCACCACATCCTTACTCTGGAACACCCACTGTACCTGTGTGCCACATTTCAGACAGATTTACTGTAGAAATCTTCAGATATTACAGAAAACTTGTATTCAGTCCACACTAGTGACAGTCTGGTTAATATTCAAAAATTCATAAAAAATCATCCTTCATAGCTGATGTACAACTTTCACCACATCCTTACTCTGGAACACCAACTGTACCTGTGTGTCACATTTCACACAGATTTACTGTAGAAATCTTCAGATTTTAAAGAAAACTTGTATTCAGTCCACACTCGTGACAGTCTGGTTAATATTCAAAAATTCATAAAAAATCATCCGTCATAGCTGATGTACAACTTTCACCACATCCTTACTCTGGAACACCCACTGTACCTGTGTGCCACATTTCAGACAGATTTACTGTAGAAATCTTCAGATATTACAGAAAACTTGTATTCAGTCCACACTAGTGACAGTCTGGTTAATATTCAAAAATTCATAAAAAATCATCCGTCATAGCTGATGTACAACTTTCACCACATCCTTACTCTGGAACACCCACTGTACCTGTGTGTCACATTTCAGACAGATTTACTGTAGAAATCTTCAGATATTACAGAAAACTTGTATTCAGTCCACACTCGTGACAGTCTGGTTAATATTCAAAAATTCATAAAAAATCATCCGTCATAGCTGATGTACAACTTTCACCACATCCTTACTCTGGAACACCCACTGTACCTGTGTGCCACATTTCAGACAGATTTACTGTAGAAATCTTCAGATTTTAAAGAAAACTTGTATTCAGTCCACACTCGTGACAGTCTGGTTAATATTCAACAATTCCTAAAAAATCATCCTTCATAGCTGATGTACAACTTTCACCACATCCTTACTCTGGAACACCCACTGTACCTGTGTGCCACATTTCAGACAGATTTACTGTAGAAATCTTCAGATATTACAGAAAACTTGTATTCGGTCCACACTAGTGACAGTCTGGTTAATATTCAAAAATTCATAAAAAATCATCCTTCATAGCTGATGTACAACTTTCACCACTTCCTTACTCTGGAACACCAACTGTACCTGTGTGTCACATTTCACACAGATTTACTGTAGAAATCTTCAGATTTTAAAGAAAACTTGTATTCAGTCCACACTCGTGACAGTCTGGTTAATATTCAAAAATTCATAAAAAATCATCCGTCATAGCTGATGTACAACTTTCACCACATCCTTACTCTGGAACACCCACTGTACCTGTGTGCCACATTTCAGACAGATTTACTGTAGAAATCTTCAGATATTACAGAAAACTTGTATTCAGTCCACACTAGTGACAGTCTGGTTAATATTCAAAAATTCATAAAAAATCATCCGTCATAGCTGATGTACAACTTTCACCACATCCTTACTCTGGAACACCCACTGTACCTGTGTGTCACATTTCAGACAGATTTACTGTAGAAATCTTCAGATTTTAAAGAAAACTTGTATTCAGTCCACACTCGTGACAGTCTGGTTAATATTCAAAAATTCATAAAAAATCATCCTTCATAGCTGATGTACAACTTTCACCACATCCTTACTCTGGAACACCCACTGTACCTGTGTGCCACATTTCAGACAGATTTACTGTAGAAATCTTCAGATTTTAAAGAAAACTTGTATTCAGTCCACACTCGTGACAGTCTGGTTAATATTCAAAAATTCATAAAAAATCATCCGTCATAGCTGATGTACAACTTTCACCACATCCTTACTCTGGAACACCCACTGTACCTGTGTGTCACATTTCACACAGATTTGCTGTAGAAATCTTCAGATTTTAAAGAAAACTTGTATTCAGTCCACACTCGTGACAGTCTGGTTAATATTCAAAAGTTCATAAAAAATCATCCTTCATAGCTGATGTACAACTTTCACCACATCCTTACTCTGGAACACCCACTGTACCTGTGTGCCACATTTCAGACAGATTTACTGTAGAAATCTTCAGATATTACAGAAAACTTGTATTCAGTCCACACTCGTGACAGTCTGGTTAATATTCAAAAATTCATAAAAAATCATCCGTCATAGCTGATGTACAACTTTCACCACATCCTTACTCTGGAACACCCACTGTACCTGTGTGCCACATTTCACACAGATTTACTGTAGAAATGTTCAGATATTAAAGAAAACTTGTATTCAGTCCACACTAGTGACAGTCTGGTTAATATTCAAAAATTCATAAAAAATCATCCTTCATAGCTGCTGTACAACTTTCACCGCATCCTTCCTCTGGAACACCCACTGTACCTGTGTGCCACATTTCAGACAGATTTACTGTAGAAATCTTCAGATTTTAAAGAAAACTTGTATTCAGTCCACACTCGTGACAGTCTGGTTAATATTCAAAAATTCATAAAAAATCATCCGTCATAGCTGATGTACAACTTTCACCACATCCTTACTCTGGAACACCCACTGTACCTGTGTGCCACATTTCAGACAGATTTACTGTAGAAATCTTCAGATTTTAAAGAAAACTTGTATTCAGTCCACACTCGTGACAGTCTGGTTAATATTCAACAATTCCTAAAAAATCATCCTTCATAGCTGATGTACAACTTTCACCACATCCTTACTCTGGAACACCCACTCTACCTGTGTGCCACATTTCAGACAGATTTACTGTAGAAATC